TCGCAAGCGAAGCCGGGGGCCGGGGGGGCGGGCCAGACAGGTGAGGGCTCAGACCAGCCAAAGGATGGACCACTTGTCCAGGAACCCAGTCACCTCAGGCCCACCCGCCGCGGCCAGCGGGTGGTCGCATCCCGTAGCGGGGATAGGTGTGAGCGTGACCCTCTCGGAGCGAGCGCGCGCGCGCTGCCGCGACGGGGGGGGGGGGGGGGCGAGCGGCGCGGAACACCACCGCGGCGCGCGTGGAGGAGGGGGGGGGCGCAGCCGATAACCGCGCATCTGGAAAATAAAGGAGGAGGGGGGAGGGGCACAGCCGGTGGGCCAGGTGGCGGCAGCGGCCGCAGAGGACCCAACACAGCGTTGCAAGTGTGGAGCACATGGGAGGGGGAAAGTGCCCGACAGGTGGGGCGGGGGGGGGGGGCGACTCCACCTGGCCGGGGTCGCCGTGGGTAGTGGTGTAGAAGAGTGAGGTGCGACTGGTGGAGCACATGGTGTGGGCCTTTGGCCTGCAGTCCCAGTCATCCAAAGTGTGTGCCCAATCGGACAAAGAAGGGCAATTGCCCGGTGAGAACAAGGCCAAATGGGGACCGCGGGGCCGGATTATTTAAGCCGGCCCCTCACGGACTATGAAGCCCACAAACAGGCGTGGGAGTCTAAACGCAGCGCGGTGGTATAGGTGCACCTCAGCCCCAAGAGGTGGCGCAAGAGCATTAAGGCCTCGGCCTGTCACTGCGGTGAAACTAATCCTCGTCATGAAGGGGCCACCCGCGGAAGCGGTGGCCCGTGGGGGGCAGCCGCCCGCGCGGTCTTTATCCCTCACCAATTGCATGCCTGCGCGCAGCAAAGGGGCGGTTGAGGACCATCGGGCTGCCGACCCACTGGGCCCCGCATGGCACAGAGGGGTCCCATATGGCCCACAGGGTCAGCGCGATGGAGACCACATTGTTTTGGGAGGGAGGGGCTGCCCCCAGCTGCCCGAGGTCGTTGTTGCCCAGAAAGCAAGCGCTGCGTTCCGTGACGGGCTGAGTGGCAACTCAGAATATAGACGTGGCCGGGGGGGGGAAGGTCTTGAGCCGCAGACGAGCTGCGCAGGCAAGCCCTTGAGAGAGCGGGGAAGGGGCAAACGTGCAGGTGGGAACGCGAGTAGCTCACTTGGGGGCGGAGTCCCATCCTCGATGGCGCTTGTCAGCATAGTGGGCATCCCCCCTGGGGGAGGACCGTTTCCCCCTGGCCCTCCAGTCTGCGTCGACCCATGTGTCCAGGGGGCAGCCGATCCCGATGCGCCTGTCTGCGTGGCGACTCTGTTGTCGGTGCGCAGTGTGGGGGGGGGGGGGGGGGGGCATGTAGCCTCTTTGCTCTCGTTAGCCCACGGGCCCCAGCGTCCGCCTCCAATGGCCCCCCCCCGAGGCAGCTGCCTGCGAGGCGCCTCTGTCGTCGGCGGGCCGCGGGGCGATGCTGGACGCACCATTGTCCTCGTCGGCCCATGGGTTCCGGCGGCCGCCTCCGATGGGCCCTTCGGGGGTGCGGTTTTTCGCGTCGCGCTGTATGAGCCTGCGATGCTTGTCCATGATGTTTGGCCGTTCAACCTGGGGCTGGTACTCCTTGTCTATCCTGTGGGCATCATAGCCTGCTTTGCTCCATGCTCTGAGGAAGTCGTCGCACTGCTGCACCGCATTCTCCCTGGGGTCGGACTTGATGTTGACCCATGTGCTCCCTTGCTTGGCTCCTGCCGCGCGGGCCCAGGCACTCAAAAATCCGTTGAATGCACCTCCCAGCGTCGTCTGCTACCTCATGATCTAGTTTGGTGCTGGCTCGCCCTCTGTGACATTTGCTTCATTGACGGGCCGCAAGTACATGGGGGGGGCCACCCATGGGGTCATCCGGGCGCGCAGGTGGGATGGCTGCCGACAGTGCGTCGCGCCCCCGCCCCGCGCTGCGTTGTTGCCTGGGTGAGCTGCGGGGCGGAGGGGCAGAGCGAACTATGGAGGCGTCTTCGGGAATGGTGGGAGGTCGGCGGTCTGTTTTGTTCTCCGTTAGCCTGAGCTTCCTGCCGTCGCTGGCCGCGTCTGCGAAGGCCCGCGCATACGGGGACCAGGCGGCTTGCGAGTCGACCCTCTGGTGGGGTTGGGGCCACAAGGGGGGAGTACTGCGGGCGGACTCACGTTTGTTCGGTGCTGGAGGGTGGGCATCATCTACCTGGTGTGCGGAGCTAGCCTGTACCTCGGCGTCGGAAATGTCTGGTGGGCTTCCGTGCGCCTGGCCGTCCGGTTCGGACCCCTTGTTGGACTCATCCCAGTCGATCCCTTCATAATCGCCGCCGCCGCTTCCGCACTTGCATGGGGACGGCACGTCCCCTGCGTACCCGTCGGACTGGCCTGGTGCGACGGGTTGCTGGGGGGACGCGTGGCCAACTGCGTGTAGAGAGGTAGGGTCAGACGGTTCCTCTTGGGGCCTGTTGAGCCAAATGGCTGTGGGGAGACCTCCTTTATCAACGCTACTGGTCTTTGCCACCTTGGGCTGGCCGGCGAGGAGCTCGATCGTTCCTCCTGCTAGGTCGTCCTCCATCCCTGAGAGAAAGAGGGTGAGTGTACTCAATGGCTGTCGGTGGGGGCGCTGTCCTTTCTGATTGTCGAGTTTGTCTGCGAAGCGCTTCCATTCCTCCTGGTACTTCAGGTTGCTCTCCACTGGGTGTGTGACAACCCTAGCAGCCGCGGCCCTCTGTCCGTCCCAGGGGATGCGTGGGGGATGGCCGTTGCTGGGGATGTCATCCCCGTAGACAGTTGCCAGAAAAGGTCGCCAAATTTTCGAGGGACCACCCCGATTCGTCGGTTACCTCGCCTACGATGTCTTTTCCCAAGCGCTGCGCGTGGGCTGCCCAGCTGGTGTAGATTGTGTGGTTCCACTCAACCAGGTATTTTACCAACGCGCGGACAGGGCCTCTCGACTCGTCCCCTGCCAGACGGCGGGTGGAGTGCGCGGGGAGGGACGGCGCAGTGGGGGGTGGTAGGTCGGGAAGCGAAGAGCTGAAGGTGACCCCTCCGGCTGAGGCCTCTTGTGGCTGCCCGGTGGGGGGCTGTGTTGACCGGCTGTCGCATGTTGGAGTTGGTGTGTCGGGGCCTGCGGCTGGCGCGCGGCTGGTTGTGGAAAGGTGTGCGGACATGTCGTAGATGCACCATTCTTCTGTGATCTCATTCATGGCCGGCCTTTTGGTCGGGGAGGCTGGGTATATCTCGCTGGAGCACTGGTCAAGTATTCGATCGAGGGCGCTTGGGGCGATGTCCCAGATGTGAACCAGGCACCTCCTGCATGCCCAGCCGGCGCGGTGCGTAGATAATTGGCGCGAGATTGCCGCGGATTCCAGCGGACAACACACGCAGCGGCACAAACTGGTGGGAATACGCGAAGCGTTAAGAACCCGGTGGAAGGAACAAGCCCAGATCTGATCGAGGTCGCGCTAAGGTCGTTGTTCTCAATTTCGTCGTGTGGGGCCCATTTCGGATCCCGGCGCCGTGAGAAATCGATCCTGGATATCCAACTGGGATGGACTCCCGCAGAGGTCCAGGGACCGATTGTGAACAGACTTCGACCAGGAGTGGGATTGGGAAAAAAGAGGGAGGGGCGAGGAAAAGGGAAAGAGACTGATGATGAAGATAGTACCAGGAGAAGGGAAGAAGGGGGGAAGAGAGGATAGGGGAGGGTGATGGGGGAGAAAAGAGGAAACACACTCCTCCACATCCCCATCCGTCCCATCCCCCTGCTCATCCCCGCCTCCATGCTCTCGATACCCGTACCCCTCCTCCTCCTCGTCCTCCTCCAGCTTTCCCTCCTCCCCGCTCCATCCTCTCCCCCTCCCCATAATCCGGCCCAGTCCTCCCACCCCGCTCTCCTCCTCCTCCTTTTCCTCTTCCTCCTCCTCCTTTTCCTCCTCTTCCTCCTCCTTCCTCCTCCTCTTCCTCCTCCTCCTCCTCCTCCTTCCTCTTCCCCCCCCCCCCTCTACCTCTCACTCCCTCCCCCTCCTACGCCTCCTCGCCTCTGCCCCCCTCCCCTCCTCTGCGCCTCCCGACCCTCCCGCCCCTCCTCTGCCCCCCCGCCCCTCCCTCCCCTGGGCAGGAGGGCGGGCGCAGGAGGGAGGAGGGGAGAACGAGGACGCACGGGGGGGGGGGAGGGAGAGGGAGGGGAAGGAGGAGGGAGGGGGAAAAAGGGGGCGAAGAAGGAGGAGGGAGGGACGCACGGGGGGGGGAAGAAGGAGGGAGGGGGAAGAGGAGGGAAAAGAAGGAGGAGGGAGGGACGCACGGGGGGGGGGAAGAGGGGGAGAAGCAGGAGGGAGGAGGGAGGGGGGGGGAAGGAAGGAAGGGGGAGGGGGGAGGAGGGGGAATCTATAGGAGGAGGGAGGAAAGGGGGGAGAATTGGAAGGGGGGGAGGAGTGGGAGGACGAGGGCGAGGGAGCCGACGGCACGTCCGCTGGGGCCGGGGAGGACCTCGGCGCCCCACGCCCCGATCTGGCCCCCGCGCTGGGCGGCACCTCTGCCCGGCGCCCCGCCCCTCCCCGGGCCCGACCGGCGAGGCCGCCCCCCTCCTCCTCCACCTCCTCCTCCTCCTCCTCCTCCTCCTCCTCCTCGTCCTCCTCGTCCTCCTCGTCCTCCTCGTCCTCGTCCTCGTCCTCGTCCTCGTCCTCCTCCTCCTCCTCCTCCTCCTCCTCCTCCTCCTCCCCTTCGTCCTCGTCGTCGTCCTCCTCCTCCTCCTACGCCCACAGGACCAGTCAGCGTCGCATCGGGAAGCCAGGTCAGGCCGCGGTGTGCGTGGGATCGGGCCGCATCGGCACGGGGTCGGAATCGAATGGGATTGGCTGCGCAAGGATTCACAAAAGAACGCCATGCGCGCACGGGGGCCGCACCGCATCCCTGGAGTGCCGGAACCGAGTCGGATCAAGCCTGGTGGAACAGATGTCGAATCAACTCGATCTGATCGAACTGGGCCCTGCCCCCCCTTCCATCCGGCGTGGCCTGCGCCAGCTCGAGGTCGCTCTCCAGACCCTCGACGTCCCACATGCCATCGACGTAGTAGTCCTGTGCGCCAGCTGCAAATAAAATCGGGCCAATTTCGCGCCTCCCGATGCTTGATCCTCTTTCGTTGTAAATAGCTCCCCATGTCGCACCACCTGACTTGTCTGCAGGGCACAACGGGCGTTCCGATGGAAACGTTCTAAGCCGTGGTCTTGAACATAAAAATCCTACCGTTACATGAATGGAACACCAGCCTTCAACATTCAGTGCAGCTCTGGCATTCGCGCCGCGCGTACACGTTTTCAAAATTATCCCAACAATATCATGAATCAGCCACCCGTTGTTTTCAACATGCGGTTCTGCCTCAGCGTCGCGTACGTTCGCTTAGCCCCGAGTATGAGGATGGAGGCAATGTGTTCCCCAACGTGCAGGGCTGGCTTCTGATGTCCTCGAAATCTATGGCGAGCTGCTTTCGGTCCGTCTGTGGCTGGTCTCGGGCAGCGTTCTGGCTATCTCAAACATCCTGCTGTTGATACAGAATGCGGGGTCCAAATAGCCAATGACCATAACACTGATACGTTGGTAATGATGATTGGTCGACGTTTGCTAAAGCAGGCCTCCGAATAGGGGGATGATCGACTCCCGCTTGGGAGAAGGGACCTATGTGGTGCAACGTATGGGGTGCAATCTGCGCTGGTGCAATATATGATGTGCAGTCTGCGCGGCCCAATCCGCGTGATGCGAACTATGTGGAAGATGTGTGGTGCAAGCCATGGATTGCTATCTGCGGTGCAATCGAAGAGCCGACCCGTGTAATGAGGAACCCTGAGTATCGATCCCCAACGGCGTGGCCTGGGCCCCGCTGGCCGATTTACCCCCTCTGGATGGGGATACAAGACGCTCCCTCCGGGTTCCGAGGGGCGTATCCCCAACTTTGGGCGCCCGAATTATCCAGGGTAACTCGGGTCCGGGGTAACTCGGGTTCGGATTCCCCCAAAAAAGAACCCGAATTAGCCCTGACCCGAGATACCCCTGATGATTCGGGGCTCTGGACGCCCGAATAATCCGGGGTAAGTCGGGTCCAGGGTAAGTCGGGTTCGGATTCCCGAAAACTGAACCCGAGTTAGCCCTGACCCGAGTTGCCCCTGATGATTCGGGGCTCTGAAGGACGCTCCCTCCGGGTTCCGAGGGGCGTATCCCCAACTGGGGGGGTAATTTGGTGGGGGTCTCGATGGGGATGGGGATGGGGATCGGTGAAACGATACCGGCACCCACAAGCGCCCGCCGCGCGAAAACAGCCCCGGACACCCACCGCGCGAAACCCATGGTTGAACAGGGACCGACCGTCCCGGCATTCCTATCGTCCTACCACGAAGTCTTCTTAGAACCCAAAAATGTTCAGAGAACAGAAGCACGGTTCTTGGAACATGAACCCGATGTGATGAAACAAGACAGTCCCAGCCAGAACAGTTCTAAGAAATTTTCGTGGGAACCGCAAGCAGTTCTTAGAACATTGTTTGGTGGGGCTCTTGGCGAGCCGGGACGCTCCGCCACTGCTTGACCTGAGCTCTTCGCCCCTCGGGCGCAGGAGGAAGAGGTGGAGGAGGAGGGGGAGGAGGGGGAGGAGGAGGAGGAGGAGGAGGAGGAAAGAGATTGAGGAGGAGGAGGAGGAGGATGGGGACGAGGACTATAGGCGGGCCGGGACGCTTCGCCACTGCTTGACAGGGCGGCGCCAGACCCGGGCCACGGGGCGGCCACGGGGCAGCCACGACAGGGCGTCCGCGGCGAGAGAGCGCCTGGCCTGAGGCACGGAAGGCGCCGCGACGACGAGGAGGAACAAAAAGGAGTATGAGTATGAGTATGAGTATGACCATGTGACAAAGTCATATGTGCCAACATTACGTGACGAATTACACATGGAGGCATGATTATACACGACCACGGCTCTGCTCCTCACGTGCACTTAAAACCTTAGGCCATAAACCGCGCGAAACCCGATCGAGATATACAGCTCGATGTGTGGTGACGCGTTTGGTACAAGCCTTGCCAAGTTCACGTAGGACCTCGGAGCCAAAATAACCGCACAACTTACAATACCAGAACTTAAGATGTGAATGATACTGCGTGGCATGAGATTGATCCACCCACCCACCCCCGCTATGTGCAGACGTGGCAGGGGGGGCTTTAAAAGGATGGACCCATTATAGTTGACGGGCAGGAAACATTCTGACTGGCGCCACTTTGTTGCTGCAGCCCTGCTGGCCGATCCTCCACAACAAGTGCACCTCCTCCCACTCTCATCGAGAGCGTGAGAGGTAGAGAAGAGGGAGAGGGCAGCAGCAGAGGGAGGACGGGGGACGGAGGAGGATGATGCTTTTTCCTGAGCACCAGGGGCCGCATCGGCCTCCATCGCGTCGATCGTCGCCCGGCGCCCTCAGCAGGCGCAGACGCGCAAGCCTCGCTCTCCGCTCGTGGATGAGAATGCGTTGGCGGAGAGACTCTGGCAAACGAGCAGCGTTGGCCGCAGCTCCCGCCACAACATCAACAATCGCGTTGCCAGTGACCGCCCATCTCGGAGCGGCCCCAGCCTGGATCTCCGCACCCCCGAGGCGGGAGTGCACGAAAATCAAAGATACTGAGTTGAAACAACGATCCTGCATGAGTTGTCCGAGCTGAGCCCACAGGTCCGCATCAGGCCCGCTCGGATACACGAAGCGCATGGGATACCAGCCTTTGATGACTGGCTCACAATCTGTTGCATAAGTGATGAAGCCGCTCGTGGCCCAAACAGCCAGAAGCAGGCTCCTTAGCTCTCCGCGGGGGACAGCCTGCCTGTCGCCGCAGAGTGGCCCACTGATGGTCCCTGCAATGGACACTGCGGGCCCCAGCTCATGGAAAAGTGCGATGGCACATCCGACACGGCGAAACTTGGTGACAGCAGCGTCGGGGCCGCCGCTGGCGTCGCCAAAGAGCAGCAGCGGAGCCTGGCCCGTGCCATGTCCGAGGCATCCTGGGCCCAGCTCGAAAGGACCTGTCACTACCCAGGTCTCGGCGTGGGCAGGGGGCGGGACAGCCACCCATGGGGCAGGCAGCAGTCCCCCTAGCCAAAAGGCTGGCTCTGCCTCCGCTTGCGCCGTGGCATGATACACTAGATCCTCTGTCATGGCGTGCGCCTCCGTATTGGTGTTATAACTGCACGCCCAACTGCGATGAAGAGGCGTCTCAAGCTCAAGCTGGCAACGAGGGAACTTGTCAGTGCCAGCAAAACGCGGGATCTCTGCCTTCTTCCTTGCACGCGTCCACGTGCTGCCAACTGCGATCGACAACATAACTTCACTGAGTCGATGGCCAATCTGTGGGACATCATGTAAATGCTGAATCAACACACGATAGGAGTCGACATCAGATCCGTCCTGCAAGCCTTCACCACAGTAGTGCTGATTAGCCGGTTGCCAATACCGTCGCTGCAGCACATCCGAAAAATCTTTGAGGGAAACTGCATGGCTGTCCAAGGCCTTCACACCAATATACATTGCCTCATCGAATCTCCACTCATCACCTGCAAACTCGCGGGGTTCGGGGATACCCCACCCCGTGGCCGAGGTCACAGACCATCCCGGCTCGATAAGATGTAGAATAGCTGCTGAAACTGGTCCTCGGACATACTTGGTGCGGTGCCGTTCTGGGAATCCCCGAAGCTGCTGCACGGCTGTCTGCCAAATACGAGATACCCCTGACCGTACATCAGGATGGTCTCGCCAAATGGATAGATTCATGTCTAGGCACTGCACTGGGAGCTTGACGCCTGGATACTGCTGCGGCGCTCGGATCGCCAACAGCGTTGTCAGGCACCTGCCCCGCGTCGGCGCCGCGCGCGCAAGCCCCAGCCGTCGCCGCGCCTGCGCCAGCCTCTGGCCGAAGGCCCCGTGCACCTGGAAGCCGCAGGTGCCCGCAGCCTGCGCGCCCTGGAGCTCCAGGCGGCGCGTCGCCCTGTAGCGACGCGCCGCCTTGGCGAACCTCCCGATCTTCAAACTCATGTCCTTGTGCTTAGCGCCCCTCTTACTGCGCGTGGAGCGCGCTGCTCGAACTCCGCAACTGAGGTCCACTCCAAGGAAGCTCGCCTGAGACTGAGCCGTGATGTGGTACCCCGCCTGTCGAACAGCACGAGCCACCCATCTCGCGTCAGAAACATCAGTACACATGACCACCGACTTCGGGGGCACCCGCAGCTTGCTGGCCTCCAGGGACCTGCGCGTGTCCAAGATGCAGGCCTTCAGCCCGCGACGGACGTGTGCACGTGATCCTCGAATCTGTTGTGAGAGGTCGCCGACCCACACTCGATGGCTCGCCAGCGGATGGTCCTCGACAACCCGCTGTAGCACGAAATGGGTGAGCGTCCGACCGCATCTAGTGCCCGAGCGCAGCCCTTAGACAATGCTGCGCGTGGGCTGACATGGGGCGGATGTCGCCCCCAACTGACTGAGCACCCGTGGCGACACCATGTATAAAATCACCGGCGGTAGCTGCGTCTCCAGCGCGGACTCAACTAAATATGGCCACTCGATCGAGTCGTAGAAGCCATCGATGTCAACTTAGCCATGGCCCACATGAACGTTCAAGTGGGCACATACCTCCTCCTGAATAGCGCGGAGGTGCGCTTCTCTCACACTGGAATTGCCACGCACCGCAGCGTCCCAACGTTCCTCTGTCTCAGCCGACCACCCTCGCACCAGCGGCTCCCTGATCAAGGACCAGAGGCGGCCGAGAAGCGGAACCAGTCCGATGATCCGATATCCTTGCACTTTCTTGGGAAGCATCCTCCCCAATATTAAAAGAAGTTGGCCAGGCCATCACAAACAAGCCTCGCACGCTGTAAAGAGCAGCGCGAGTTCAGCAAGTGCTGTGTCTGGTAACCTCTCTAGGTCAACTGGCGATAAGAAACCGCCCCCCTGTCACGTGGATGCCTTCATCTGCTTCAGCGCCGCCCTGATGTCACGCACACTCATAGGCTCCAGAGGGTCACCTTCCACAGCGCCCTCAACCTTCTGGAAAACTCTTCTGAC